TTTTTCAATGGGTTACAATCTTTCCTTATTATTATTTATTTTGATGATTAAATTATCTCATATTTTGGCTATTGAGTGCCTCTCAAGTTTTGTTTCTATGTCATTTTAGTAGATACCTATCTTTCTGTGTTTATATCTTCATTTTTTGTCACAAATGTTCCAGACTTATCCTTTACTTTCCCTGTTCTGGCCTTGAAGTCAGATATCTCTCTAAGGATACTTTGTTCACTGTAAAAGAAAATGTATTTAGAAACAAAGATGTGGTTTGTAGTAAGCTTATGGCTGTAAGGTATTAGCCCCTCAGGCTAAGTACACACCATATCAATTTCACCAGAATGATTGTTTTTTTTTTTTTTTTAAAAAGACAGACAGACAATACAAAAATGTCTGAAAAGATATGGAGAAACTGGAGCTCTCAGAAATGCAATGATGCAATCACTTCATAAAACCATTTGAAGAGAATTCAACCTTCTTCAAAGCTGAACAATTAGTAATTATATGACCCCAAAACTCCATTCCTAGGTACATATCCAAAAGAGCTAAATACATGTCCACACAAAAACTTGCGTGTGTGTGTTCATAGCAGCATTCTTCATAATAGCCAAAACCCAATTTTCCGTGAATTTAAAAGTGCATATACTATGATATATCCACAAAAAAGAATGTGACTTGGCATTACAAAGCAATGAACCATGGATATATTCTACATCTTGGAAGAACTGCTGTAGTGGGTGGAATGGTAGCCCCCCCCAATATTATCCATGCCTTAATTTCTGGAGCCTGTTTGTGAATGTTGCTTTGTTTGGAAAAATTGTAATTGCAAATGTAATTTTGTTAAGGATTTTTAAATGAAGAAATTAGTCTCGACTATCAGAGTGGGTCTTAAATCCAGTGGTTAGAATCCTTACATGAAGAAAACATAAAGAGGTTTGAAAGACAGTGGAGGAAAAGACAAAGGTACACATAGGAAAAGGCCATGTGGTCTTGATAGGAGAGATTGGAGTGATCCAGCCCTAAGCCAAGAATGCTGAAGATTGTAGGCAGCCTGAAGGGGCAAGGAAAGATTCCCCCAAAAGGCTCCCCCAGGGGCACCCTTACTAACTGCCTGGTTTTGGACTCTGGCTTCCAGAGTTGTGACACAATCAATTTCTGTTGTTTTAAACCACCCAATTTGTGTAATTTGTTGTGATTGCCTCAGAAAACTAATATAACCTCAAAAAGCCTGAGTTGAGAAAATAAAGCTAAACTGGACACCAAGTACCACATGCTAGATTCCATTTATATAAAATATTTAGAAATGGCTAATCTATAGTCAGAAAGTAGACCAGTCATTGCCAGAGCCTGAAATAGGTACGTATATTATTCTTCAATAAAGCTATCAAAACAATTAAAAACCAAACCAGACATGGTGACACATGTCTATAATCCTAGCACTCTGGGAGGCTGAGGCAGAAGGATAGCAAGTGTGAGCCTAACATGGGCAATTTAGCAACATTGCAAGACACTGTCTCAAAAAAGAAAAACAAAAACAAACAAACGAAAAACCACAAAAATGTGCTGGGGATATAGCTCAGTGTGAAGACCTGAGTTCAGTCTTCAGTACTGCAACTAAATAGATGAATATTTTGAAAAATCAAAAAGTATAGAAATAAATTTGACAGGGGAGACAGGTTTGGTGGCACATGCCTGTAATCCCAGATCTTGAGAGGCTGAGATGAAAGATTGCAGGTTTGAGGCCTGGCTGCTCTATATAGCAAGTTCAAGACCAGCCTGGATTGCAAAGTAGGATCCTGTCTCAAAAATAAAATAAAATAAAATTCTAAAGTGATAAGAAATGTAAAGAATTTATTAAAAAAACTTTAAAATATTTCTTATGGGTATGGAAATCATCTTAACTAAATAGTCCTTAAGTCATTCTTCTCTATATAAATACAAACACACATATTTATATGAAGAAAATTTTTAGGAGAAGACAAAATATTTCTTATAATACAGTTTAGTCTTAGACATTAATATAGAAATGGCAAATGATTAAATAGAGAAATATAAAAAATATAAAAAGCAAAGACAAATAATCAATAAATGTATTTTTAAGTGTATAAACTGATGCATGATGAAAGAATGCAAATTAAAGCACCATGGAGTATCATTTTCCATTGCATCAAAGTGGGAAAACTGCAGCATAATAATACCTATTGTTGCTGGGAATAAGATTTGAGAAGAATCATCTTATACATCTTGTACGGAAACTGTGGACTAAAATCACCTCATATAAAGGGCAATCTTGTAATGTGCATTAATATAATAGATATGCACACATTTTGCCTATTTTTAGATATTAATTTGGCTGAAATTAGGGAATGTATGTTGTATGTACAGGATGCTTTTTATTTTTACATTTTAATTAATTTTAAACTTAATGTTTGGGATACATAATGAATGCTTTCATCATGAGGAGTTGGTACATGTACATATTACATCTTAATCTTTTTTTACTTCTCCCTCCCTTTCTCTCTAGCTTCTCCCCCTCCATTCCTAGCTTCTTTTTCCACCCGCAAAAGCTCTACCTTCTTGTTCCTATTATCTGTCTTTACTTTGCTCTTTACATTATTTGTACTTTGGGCTTCTCATATAAGAGATATCACGTGATATTTAACATTTTGTGTCTGCTTTATTTCACTTCCCATTAGGTATCAAGGAAGGGTAATTATTTTACAGCATTGTCCACAGAGGTGGCAAATTAGAGAAAGAAAGCGCATGTGCATCAGTGAAGCACATGAATGAACAAGTCATGTTATGTCCATAACTGTGGAAAGGTTGTCCAATCATTTAAATGGTTACGAGGTGGGAGTTACAAATATACCATTTGATTTAAAAATTCTGCTAGGTATTGCTGCATGTAAAAACCAAGTTCCAGAGAAGTGTGGAAAGAAAAAGGTTATTTACTGTATTTACACATACATGTGCATTAATGTACAGGTGTGTGCACACACATATCTGTGTCTATTGTATCTTTCCATTCTCTCTCTCTCTCTCTCTCTCTCTCTCTCTCTCTCTCTCTCTCTCGTGGTGCTGGGGGATCAAACCCAGGGCCTTGTGTATGCAAGGCAAGAATTCTACCACTGAGCCACAGCCCCAGCCCCATCTTTCTACCATTTTCTTTTGTAATTAATAAGAAACCTATGGGATGCTTCTGGAGAACAGGATGAATACCCCACTCCCCAACTAATTTTTCTCCTGTGGGTTTTATATCCTTTGATGATTTTTGCCTAAATCTATTCTAGTATCAGGTTAAAAATGAATCTTTTTATTTAAACTATACTCAAATATACTGGAAATACATTGAGTCATTTTTAAATTTATGTTTTTGTTGCATAGCCAGTCTTAAGCATGAATGATCTACATAATGGCTTCCTTTCTCTTCAACTTGGTTTGTGTAGACTAAAAATAAAGAGGCTTACTTCATGCTTGCTCATTTTCTCCATGACCAAGCTGAATACTGTTGACATCTCTGGTTTTCTCTTAGGCTATCTGAAACTGCCAGAAAAAAATTAGTTAATGAGACGAGTAAATTACACTTTTGATTTTGGCATCTGCATCAGTAGTATTGATTAGTGGAATTTATCAGAATAAAATTATTAATCTAGTCTCTATTTTTCTGCTCTTGACAGTTGTTTTTTGAAGTTTCTGCCAAAGGCTGGCCTCAGTGATATTACCCACAAGTTGACTTATCTGAGTATGACATTAAAAATCTCTTTCCATAAAATAAATTAGAAGATTTCACAATACTACATTTTTTACTGTCTGGTTTTTGATGTTAAATTCTTAGATTCTTTGAAAATAAACTAGACCCTTTTGAATACAAGTGATTAACACAACATAAATTCATCTCAGTTCAAACTGCATTGTCTAAAATGATTTTTCAAGAAAATCACCATGAGTTGGTAAAGCTTGTGTTTAGCATGCACAAAATTGTATGTGTAATCCCAGCTCCCCTGCAAAAGAAAAACCACCATATACATGAAAGAACTTTAAAGTTTATTGTTTTTTAAAAACTTTATTTTAAAGAGAAAAAAAGGGCAAAAACAAAACAACAAAAATGATACAGAATTTCAAAGCAAGGTGATAGGAAATGAATAATGGTTGTTATAATACATATTGTTATTGTCAAAGTAGTTGCTCAAATTACCAGATATAGGTATGCAAGACTGACCAAACAATTAAGCATTAATTTTTCCTTTCAATAAACCAATATAAAGTTTATTGTTATATTAAAGGTTATTGTTATATTAAAGATTCACGGAAAAAATTAAGCAAGTTAAATTTGTGCTTGGAATGAGAAGAATAGAACCTAAATTCTGTGCTACTCTATTTCAGAGTTACTTGAAGTAACGTCAAAACTCTACACAGTGTTAACTTTTTAGTATTTTACCAACGAAAACATGTAATTAAAAAGGAAAATTCTAGGGGCAAGTATAGAACAATGGTAGAAAATTTGCCTAGCATGGGCAAGCCTTGGGGTCAATCCCCAGAAACACACACACACACACACACACGCACACACACACAAAGGTAAAAATTTTAATCAGAAGGTATCATGTAACAATGTATGGAGAGGCATTAGGTTAATAGCTATTTTAACATCATGAAAAGTTTTTCAGTTTTTCTCCACTTTGAAGTGAAGGTACTTTAGGGTCATAATTATATAAAGCAAATGTTTCATATACCAAATTATAGCAAATAAAATAAGGAACTCAACCTCAGAAATTTGAGTTTTGGTTCTAGCTCAACTGTGTGGTAATCTTGAGCCATGGATTGCTGGATGGTAAAAAGTTATTTTAATTACAGAAGATAATTGTACTCTCTTTTCCTTTTTTTTGCGTTTGTTTTGTTTTCTGAGACAGGATCTTGCTATGTAGTTCAGGCTGATCTTGAACTCACTGTGTAGCCCAGACTGGCCTCAAATTCATGGTGATACTCTTGCCTTAGCCTCCCAAGTGCCAGGATTACAGATGTGCAGCTTTCTTTTTCTGTTTAAAATTCAATACTGTTAGGTCAGTGATACTTCCAGTGGCATCATATAATTCATTCATTCACTCAAAAATGTTCATTAGAAACACTTATATGCCAAATAGTGTTTTAGGCACAGAAAATAGAGATTAAGTACCTTCTCAAACATGGAATTGCCGCGCCAAGCAGAAACACCGAAACAACACCCAGGATTTGGAGGCAGATTTATCTGTGTTGATGGGCTCTGGTCAGGATCACTCCCCAAATATCAGACCCTGATCTCTGGTGGTCTAGGTCTTATATTGGATAAGCAAGCAGGAAGTAGAGAGGCCGAATGGCTTGTCAGTTGGGGATTGGCTTATACAATGTGCATCATAGTGGCCAGCTATGCATCAGAGTGACCAGCTCTTTCTAAGAGACAGGAGCAACCAGATCTGCAACATGAACTATTACTTAGACAACTAACAAACTGAAGTATACTGACTTGGAGGAGGCATAATCTGCTACACAAGTACAGATATCTCTTGCTCTCAGGCATTTAAAAAACTTGTGACCTCAAATGAGCTGTATTCATCCAAACAATTAGTGCTCTTTTCCTCATTCTTCTGCTGATACTGCTCTGGTCACCAGTGACCTCCATTCAGCCAAATCTAATCTCGGATCCCAGTTTTCATTAACTGGACTCGCCCACAGCATTTGAACCAGTTTCTTCCCTCCTCGGAGCACTTTTTCTTCTTAGTTACTGGGACATGGTTCCACTACCTTAATGGCCACTTCTTAAAATCCTTGTTTATTTTTCCCACTCTTTCTGATTTCCAAATGTTGCAGGGCTCCAAAACTCACTTTTGGACACCTGTTAATCTTTTTACTCCCTGAGTGATTTAGGTTTTGACTGTCATTATGATTCCCAAATTCACATCTCAACTCCCCTTCTTCCTTGGACCCTGGAATCATATATTCTGCTTAGAATACATTCCAAACACCAGTCTCTCCTTTGCTCACTCAGAGACTGGTATTTGCATCAGGAGACCTATCAGAGAGCGTGTTTTGGACCAACATCTGTGATAGTTGAAGATCAGGGAATCAAGCTTGAGATACAAAGTTAATGTTGATGTGATTACAACAGGGTCTGAGCTGACCTTCAGACTTGCCCCAGTTGTAACAAGCGAATTATAGCACAGGATGGACCAGTTGTTGGACGTAGGCTGCCTTCAGCAAGGAAAACTTTGGTGCAGGCAGTGCTCTCCTTCTAGGAGTGAGTTCTGGAGAGGACTCAGCTGTGAGCCCTCAGCAGATAAATTCACAGTAGCTGAGGAAGAGGACCTCATCCTAAAGGGGGATGAGGATGGCACATACTGCTCCCACTACACGCTGTACACCATTGTATTCCCCACTCACCGCTGTTCTTTTCTTACTTATCTTTATTTTTTTGCAAAATATATACTATGTGTTTTTGCTTATCATTATTATTATTATTATTATTATTGGTACTGTGGGTGGAACTCAGGACCCCGTGCTTGCCAGGCAGGTGCTGTGCCACTGAGCTAAATCCCAGACCCATTTTTGTTTGTTTATTTACTTGTTATTCTCTAGTATAACACCATGAGAGCACAAACTTTTTCTCCTTCATTTTCTTTCTTTTTTTTGTCTTTTTTTGAGACAGGGTCTCTCTCTGCAGTTCAGGCTGGCCTTGAGCTCACTTTGCAGCCCAGGCTGGTCTCGAACTTGCAATGATCCTCCTTCTTCAGCCTCCCAAGTGCTGGGATTACAGGCATGTGCCACCATGCCCGGCATTTCCTTCATTTTCAAATTCTATTTTTCTAGTATGTAGAAACCGTGCATGAAACATAGTAGGTATTCAGTAAATATTATTTGATGATTAAGTAGATATATCACTTGTTTACTAAATACTAGGATCTATTTCATGTTCATGGAATAAAAAGGTAATAATAACAAGACAAACTCCATCCCTACCCACAGGGAGTTTACAATGAAGTAGAAATTATTTACACATATAGCACACATGGGTAAAATATGTGTGTATATATATGTATATATATAATATTTTAAAAGCATAATTAGAGCCAAACTATGTTATCTAATATTTTACTAATCTATCTAGATTCAGCACATCTGCAAGTGTATTACACAAAACTTTTACTGAGTGACAACACCAAAAGATTGTACAAACAGTGGAGACTTTAGTTATTTATCATGCCTGCTAATTTTGGGAAAGAAAATTTATGTTACTGGGACACATGCCTTTTGCCCAGTATAGGATTAAAGACTAAGGGACTGAATAAGACCAAGACTAATCAAAAAATTTTTTACTTAACTGGGATTTTTATTAATCCACATCCTCTTCTCTAAAATGTAAGAAAGCAAGGCTACAATTATATCTAAATAGATAAGGGATAAAATGTTTTGTGATGAATGGATAATTTGTAGTTACTTTACACATACAAATATAACTTTTCCATTACTTTAGTTTCAGTGGCAGCTGAATGTAATAAGGAAAAGGAAATAACACTTCAGCCTTTATGTCATTACTGTAGAATCACAGACTCATTTTTTAAAAAGCAGGCAATCTCTCTAACAGTGATGTTTTCTGTTTTCTATAACATATTTTATTTCCTTTCCAAGCCACCTAAATAATTTTGCATTACAGAGCTTCAGCAAGATTAATGACTGTTTCCCTTTTGTCTATTTTATCAAAAATGTGAAAGCCTTTCAGTCTGTTTTTTCTCTGTGGTGGTGAACATGGTAATGAACATTTCAGTTCTTGGTTTATCATAAACAAGATATTTGGCATTTCTACAATAACTTCCATGGGAAATATCAAATTGCTATTATTTGTGAATTTGCCAATCTCTTTGCTTCTTGCCCATTGCTGTTAGAATGCATGCTCAGTAAGCTGGATGCACTTGAGGCAACGTTCTGCTATTCTGTATGTCACTTCATCCTCCTGGTAAAGTAAGCCTTGAGACTATCCAAGCCCATCAGAATTTCTACCTTAAAAATTAAAACAAAAAAGTTATTTTTTTCAACTTTTTTTTTCACATTTATAAATAAAACCACTGGGTTCCACTGTTTTCCACACAGTTTGATGTAGTCCTCTGTTGTTATGGTTTGTATCTAGATGTCCTCCCAAACTCTCACATGTGCATAGGTGGGGATTTTGGACTTGTCTGGATCTAGGGTTTCTGTTACTAGGATTCAGGTTGTGTGGTACAGTATTAGTCCACTGATTGGCATTAGCATAGGTTTGAATGTGGATAATGGGAAGGCCCACCCTCGGTGTGGGTATCACCACCCAAAAGGTTTGTAACCTAGGTGGGATAAAAGGGAAAGGGAGGCTTGCGGCTGCTGCTTCTGATGTTGCTTGCTGCCTCTGCCTGCACATGATGAAATGTTTTTCTCTTCAGTGCCCCTCTGCCATGTTTCTCTGCCTTGGAACGAGCTGACTATGGACTGAAACCTCTACAAACTGTGAGCTAAAATAAACCTTCTCTCTTGTAACTTGTGGGTTTCAAGTATTTTGTCTCAGCAATGAGAAAAGTAACTAAGACATCTATTAAAATAAATTTTAGGTTCTCAATGAAAGCAATTTAATTTGTGGAGATGTCACCTGTATTATTGAATATCTTTTTGAAAAGAATAGATGACTACTAGTCCAGGGGTTTAGTGTGCATATATTGTTTGATTATATCATTGTTGTGATGACTGATGATTAGATAGCAAGGTCCTTACAGCAAATTTCCTGGGGCACAGTAAATATTAAAAACTCACAAACTGTCCCTGTCTATAATTAACAAGTCTTCCCCTTATAATTAGAAATGATGCTGTACTCAAGTACCTCTAAACACAGAAAGACTGCTGCTGTCCCCTCCATTTTAGAGCCAGCAGTATTTAATAGAATGGAACAGCCGTAGATGGTTATGTTACAGAATTTTGAAAGGAAGGTGATCTCTTACCATGAACTCAAATGAACTGATGTGGAACCATTTAAATACTGGGTGTATGTGGCAGAAGCAACTCTGACTTGCCTGATACTTCACATACCATTGCTTCACACATTAACTCTGTTTATCTCTCAGAGCCTTATCCTTTATCTGCTTTCTTTGATCTTACCAGGACCCATGTTTTAGTCTTCCTTATTTTGTATTCTTTCCTTCCTTTCCTTATCCCAGGGTGTGCACATGAACTAACCAGAAAGTATACTCAAGCACATATTTTACAATATCTAATATTTGCTCTATGAACATTTCATTTTTCTGCTAATATATTGAAAAGCAGGAGAATAAGGAATAAAATTCTTAAAATTTTCTTGTTTTAAAAGCTTTTCAGATACATGTAGATCCTGATATTTTTGCTGAGTTGAAGTTGAAAAAAGATTATTTATTCTAGGTTTGGTTACAATAATTTATTAAGAATAAAGCCCTGTACATGGTAGATGTAAAATAGCTGATTGTTGGGTGACTCTTCAATATACAAGTATTGAATTCTTACCAGGGAACTTAATAGGTGTTCTTGTAGAATGCCGCATGCTCTGACCCAGAGAGATTTTCATTCCAAAGGGTGCTGCTGATCTGTTTCTGCTCATCTGTGCATCAGGATCACAAGAGTAAGGATCAGGTAGAGAGTGCCTGGATGAGATCTGTCTGCATATTAATATCTAGAAGTGTTCTTTAATCAGAGATCTAAGAACATTGAACAGCACATGTTGAGAGGGACATACACTTCACCTTCTGTGCACCTCTGTTCAGTCAACCCCAGAGCAAAGCCTGTGTAAGGATAATGTACATGTGATTCCCCTCGGCTGCTGTGGAAACAGGGGTTCTGGGTCACCATGGCTGAGGCAGTGCTCGCCATACTGCATTTCCAACAAGTTTCTCTCCAGTGATGCTGCTAGCTGGTCTGTGGATTGCACTGACAGTAATAGGTCTGAAAATAATAGGGTTTTGTAACCAAACTTCTGTTATCACTCTTCAGTTACTTCTCATTTAGGAACTTTTGTTATCACTCTTCAGTTTCTTCTTATTAAGGTACCATTGATAAGCCTCAGCTGGTGGGGGTCTGGTCTGTATTCTGTCTTGTCATCTGTCCCTAAGGTGTTGGAGTTTGCTGCCGGACTTTGTTACTGAAAACACAGAGTCATTTCTATTAACTTGTTAGCTGGGAGCAGCTGCTGTGTTGCTAGTTTGTGCCCCATTTGGATGCTGGTTCTACGAATTGCATTCTCTGAAGCTTTTGTTTTACTGTGGAAGAATTATTTTTTGCTTTATGTGTGAGCTGTACGACACTATATTACTTCCTGTGCAGTATCAGTGGTGGTTTTGGACAGTTCTCACAAATAATGTGTATCATGTTTTTCACTGAACTCTTACCAAAACTCTGATGCACATAGTTTTAATATTGTAATTTCCATCTTGTGGATGAGAAAGCTAAGATTCAGAGAAGTTCAGTAACTCCTACAAGATCACAAAGGTAATAAAGGGCAAAAATGGATTTCACACCCCTATTGTGATTCCAAATCCTGTGTTTTCTATCACCTTGCTGTGAATAGATTATGATAGAAGGGAAATGGCCTTTCCCTCTTATGGGGGGGGTCTTTGTAGATTTTTGTACATTCATGAATTTATTTATTTTTCTTGTGTTGCTCTTTGGCCCTTTATCACACCTCCTTCCATCTCTAAAGAGTTAGCATGAAGAGCAATTTGACGATATTGATATCTGCTGACTTATTTCAGAAAGACTATATTTTTGTCTTTAAGGTAAAGTGAGATGATGTTATTTGGGATTAGTGCCACTGTAGACATAATTAGTTAGCATAGGGTCTTACTAGAGTAGATTGGTCTCCTAATCTAATATGACTGCTGTCCTTAAAGAAAATGGAAGATGGTTATATTAGAACAGAGACACAGGGGACACAACTGTGTGACAACAGGAATTGGAGTGGTGGCAGATTCAAGCCAAGTAACACCAAGGATGAATGCCATTATTGGACTAGGAAGAGGCAAAAAAGTATTCTACCTAGAGTCTCAGAGGAGCGTGGTCTTACCAATACCTACATTTTAGGTTTCTATCTTGCAGAACTGTAGGAGAATAAATTTCTCTTGTGTTAAGCCACCAATTTGTGCTGCTTTGTTATGGAAACTCCAGAAAACTGACACAGATCCATCATGAAAATGAGAAAGTGACACCTCTCAGGAAGATATAACCTGGATCTACACTGCAAACCTTGGTGGGTGGAAGGTAGCCTGGCTGTCCATCTCCTCTTGACTCTTTGGCCAAGTACACACATACACAACAAACTGCACAATCATGTCCAATGGGCCCATAGGCAGAACCTAGGACCCAAATATCTGAATGTTCCCTTTTCTTCTCTTTCCCTTATCTTTTTTGTCACTTCCCCAAAGAGCTCCTGCTTCCCCTTTCTTCTTAGGTAGGCACAAACTTTGGCTGTGTCATATCCTGTTATGGTTCCCGTGATGCACATTAGATCTGCATGGACTGAGTCTACAAAGCCTGCTATCAGGACGAGAATTGCTGTGACCTAAGATAGAGAGACAGATAAAGACAGGCAGGTTAAGCTAAGCCTTGGCTTCACTGTTTACACTAACCTTCTATTGCTATATAAGGAATTGCCCCCCAAACTTAGCAACTTAAAACATTTCTAATCTCCCACAGCTTCTGACGGTTGGGAACCCAGGAGGAACTTGGCTGCTAAGAGCCTCTCCTGAGGTTGCTGTCAAACTGCTGCCCAGGACCATTGTTTCTGAAGACATGACTGAGTCTGGAGGATTCATTTTGTAGCTCTCACACACACACACACACACACACACACACACACACACACACACACACACAGCTGTTGGCAGGGTGCTTCAGCTCCTCAGCAGCTTTTTACAGGGCTGCTCATAACATGGTTTCCACCACGTCGAGTGATTGGCAGAAGTGAGACAGTGATCAAGACAGAAGGTGCAATCTTTTATAAAGTAATCTTAGATGCAATTCATTATTACTTCTATAAATCCTAGTGGTCAACCAGATCAACCTTAGTACACTGTGGGAGGACTCCACAGGAGTGTAAATTCCTAGATATGAGGATTTAGGGAGTCGCCTTGTAGACTGTCTATTGCATTGTTCTACTAGTGTTTCTTAATAGGAACTGAACTGACATTTGGGCAGCACTTTTCTTTGTTGGGTAAGACTGTCTTAGGCATTGATAGATATATATATATATATTTTGGTTTTGATTTTTTTCCAGTACTGGGAGTTGAACTCATGACCTTGCACTTGCCAGGCAGGCGCTGTGCTGCTGAGCTAAATCCCCAGCCCCTTGATAGATATTTTAATGTTCCTGAATTTCACCTACTAAATGCCATTACTACTTTAATCACTATGGAAATCAAAGTGACCCCAAATAACTTGCTTTATCTAGCATATCAGTCAGGATAAGCCAGATTTTGAGCATTAACCTGAATAAAAAATATCAGATTGTTGTTTTCAAAAATATTAAAACTGTGGCACTATTACCTCTCAGGGGCTTTGAATTAACTGAGCAATGGACAGTCCTATGAATGGAGAGCTGTAGAGTAATGAGGAAGTGTATTCTTTGTTCCACTTCTACCTTTTGTTTGCTAACAACCTGGAGAAAGTTATGAAACTAATTGAATCTGTGTGTATTAGTCAACTTTTCTGTTGTTGGACCAAATACCTGTGCTCAAAATATAAACAAGGAGAGGTTTATTTATCCCCTGGTTTCAGAGGATACAGTCCATGGTCTGCTGGTCCAAGGCAGAAACAACATGGTGGGAAGTCATTGCAGAGTAAAGTTGCTTAGTTCATGGGTGCTGGGACACAGAACTTGGAAACAGTGCCAGAGAGGAAGATATGAGAGACCAGGTATGGAACTCAAATTTATTACTCTAGACTCACCTAGATAAACTCAGAAGTGTACTTTACTAATCCACTGACTAGATCCCAAGCCTGTCCATTTGATAATCCACCTTAATCCTCACTGTGAATGGGAGGTAATATTACTTACCTCACAGGATTTGCAAATAGAAAGGTTACATAAATAAGGCAGAAAAACAAGACACCTTTGAACCACATGTAGGCTTACTCTTTCCGGAGAAACTCAAGTATTCCAGACCTTGGAGGCATAAGCTTTCCAACAGAAGGGCCTTGGAACAGGCTGGTGTTCTGGGTCCAGAAATGGGCCAGAATTCCCTTAAACAAGAGACAATCAGTGTAAGGCCTGGCTTGTACCTTCACAGAGGCCAGAGTTTTCCTAACTGCAAGGTGAATACTGAACTTTGTTTGGGGAACATCTATGTATGCCTTCTATCTTGTTGCCCACCCCCCCATCACTGGCCAAAGTTTGAGTGTCTTGAGACTATTATTTCCTCCCATTTCTTCTCTGTTCTAGATCCTTTTCCTTCAACCCAAGCTCCCATTGCCATCCTCCTTCTGAGTGTCTCCATTTTTTTACAGAAATGCCCCTGTCCTACACCTTTCTCTGAACTTGTTCTGCGTATCCCTGATGGCTGGTATGCTCCTGAGCTTGGTGATCTTTTACAGCTTTCTCAAATTATTTTTCCATCAAAACTTCAGGTAAGAGTTGGGTGTGGTGGCGCACACCTGTAATCCCAGCACTCGGGAGGCAGAGGCAGGAATAGCACCATAAGTTCAGGGCCCGCTTGCACTAATAACAAACCCTGTCTCAAAACAAAAACAAAACAGCAAAGCAAAACAAAACACTTCAGGTAAAACTTTCTGCCCACAAATATCTACCTTCTTCATGTGTATGGGCTGGAAAGTATAGCTAGAGAAAACCATTTGACTTTCCAGAAGGGTGTACTATGCTCTAAACTCACTCTCCTATCACCTATCAACACTGTCTGCAGCTCTGTTTCATCTCTCACCATTAACCTCTCTCCTGGCAGCCTCCACAACATGTACCACAGGCTTTCCCTCCACTGATCTCAAGCCATCTACTTCTTCCATTTGCACTGCAGTCTCATTCTTACCTTCAGGTGACCTTGGCTACAGCTTCACAAGAAAATAGAAGACCCAGATGAGAGTACATACAGTTTCCTGTCAGCCCAGTCTCTATTCTTGTGCTACCTTCCTCCAGGATTAGCTTCTCCCCTGTGCCTTTGCACTCATCACTTTGGGTCTCCTCAGGAACTTTCCTCCAACAATGATCTCTCTCTTCTATAGTCCAGCATTTTTGCTAGGTTCTTCCCATTTCAATGTCCTCAGGTGTCCTTCACCTTCAAAAAAACTCCTTCCTCCAAGCCTTGCCTTCCCTCTTGCACCTCATCCTTCTTTCACAGACCAAGTTCTTGAAATAACTGTTCCCATTCCCTATGGTGTCCTCACCTCCCTTCCCTTTGGACTGACTCCAGTCTGCCTCCTCTCTCACCTGTTTTCAGCAGCTGCTTTCATCTGGGTCATAACCCCTACCCCAGTGATGCTAAATCTAGTGAACTCTTCTCTTTTCTTACTTGACTTAAGCTTTCAGTATTTGACACTGTTCACTGTTCCTGCCTGCCCGGAGGGCTGTCTTTACTTGCCCTCTGTTAAGCCCCAGTCACCTAGTGTTCCTCCATCTCTGCCACTACTTCTCAGTCTCCCTTTTTTGGACAACCTTCCCTCTGCCCTCGGGTGTAACTCAGTGTCCTCAAGACTCTGAGCATGGTCCTCTTTCCCATGGTGCACACTTCCTCGGTGAGCTCACCCCTTTCCCTGGGTAGTTACCTGCCATGGCACTTGAAGTGCCATGACACTTGAAACCATGCTGATGGCCCAGAGGCTCTCCTGAGCTTCAGACTAGTATTTCCAACAACTTCCTGTCTACTGAACCCAGACACTTTACAGATAGCTCGACTCAACTGAGAAACAAGGAACTCTTCTCTTATTTTCCCCTCTAAACCCTTTCCTGGGCCTCTTCCCATCTCTTCCCCTGCTCTGACCTCCATGTGCACTCAGAACCAGCACCCGAAGCCTCTGCCTCCCTAAATGTTTCTCTGCTGGGGCTCACCTCTACTCACACTGTCATTATGTAGCTCAGTTTGGGTGGCTTTTTCTCTTCCGGTCACCACAGGCCTTGAAACATGCCCCTTTGATTCCAGTCTTCACATTAAATTCAGAGTGGCCTTCCTGAACTTCTAATCTTGCCCCTTCTCTTACTCCTGCTGAAGGTCCACAGACCTTCTTTTGTTCTCAGAACCTTCTCTGTTTTCTCTTTCATGGTCTGGTTTCTCCCAGCCTGTGTTTTACCACCAACACCCACAACTTACCCTTCAACCACATGAAACTATTCACAGAGTTGTTTCTTGTGTCTTGCCTCTGGACTTTTACACAAGCTTTTACCTGTTTTTCCTGTCTTTTCAAGTTATCTAATTCACTACTTCTGTCATGAAGCCTTTTACAGTCTCCGTACTCAGAGTTAGATGTTGCATTCCCTTTCTGTGGTGCTACCATGGTTTGCCTCTATTATAACACCCATCATGCTTTCATTGTCCATTCATCCTTAGATTTTAGGAGCCTTTTGGAAAGAAACTCTGTCGTATTTGTGGCTTTAAACCCAGACTCTGGAACAGTCCGTGGTGCAAATTGGGAGCTCAGTAAATACTTCGTAAATGAAGGAATGACTCTATTTTATGTTTCACATAGATGGTCTATGATGAACACATAAATACCCGTTGAATGTGAGCTTTAGATGAGGGGAATGTTAGTGAGATAAGAGATGAATTTAAAGGGGATAAAGAATCAAAGTGTCTTTCCTCCTTCCACAAAGTGTTGGAGCCAGAAAACCAGATGTTCCTTTATCCTCACCCTTTATCTCTCTGGCAAGAGGAAAGCATCTGCCACTTAGAGCTAAGTCCTTGCTGACCTTGGTGGTGCCATTTCAGAGACGGTATGAAAACCAAACCTGGGCCAGGAAAGGAAAAATAACTGCTTTCTAGTTTTATTATCATGAAGAACTGGAAAACATATAAAATACTCACACATAAGAGGAGAAAACACTCTTAAAATGCAGCCGTTTGCTAAGCTAAGCTTCAGGACTATTTAGATTTTTTTTATGTTTATTTAGCTGGCTATCTTGAGACAAACAAGCTTATTATTTTGTGTTGTAAATTTAAAAAACAACATCTTTTCAATGATCTTGCCCCTCATCTGCCCTATTTACTGAAGAAGAACGTGCACAGTTGCTATAATACCCATACACTAGTTACAGAAACAGTATTATGCAAGAATGTCAGGAACGCCGACGCAAGGGCAACCTGGTATTTAAAAATAAATAGAAATGACTTGCCTTTGTCGCAGCCACATGTACTTTCCACTGCACCTCTGCTCCCAAGCAGGTTTACTTTTTATCTGGTTTCTCTTCAAACTTGGGGAGGAGGAATCCTGGCCTTGGCAGGCACTGAGCTTGGAACCCACACTCTCTGGAGTAGCGATATTGGTTCAGTCCTTGAGGCCAGTAACACTTCCAGCCCTAGGGAAACCTTGGTTCCAAATTTTTCCATCATTTCACAAGGGAGTTACTTTTGCAAAAGGCTTTGGCTGTTCCTGAAGTTTTCTCTTATTTTGTCTTTTAAAATGCAGTTTGTGGAGTTGGAACGCTGCAGAGTTTTTTCCTCCCTCTTCACCCAGATGTTTCTAGTTCTCAGGATGTACACCTGTGAAGCAGAGTCACAGGGGAGAAAGGTTTGAGTTTTATTTACAGCAAAGAAGAATGTGAACTTCACATGCAAATGTTTGAAGTGGTCATTGTGTTCTCAGAGCTTCACTTGCAAGACCACTAGGATAGAATTTGCAGGGATAGGAAAAGAAAATGTTGAGGTTAAACTATCCAATCCTTAGATATTTTTCAATATCTACTCTGGCTCCTCAGCATTGATTTTGATGCTGGGAATACAGATGTAGAAAAAAAAAAAGAAAGATCTTTGTATTTGTTACTTTTCTTGTTACTGAGACAAAATTTCCAATACCCCAAGTTAGAGGAGGAAAAGTTTATTTGGCTCAGTTTGTAGAGGTTTCAGTTCATAGTCAGCTGGCTCCAAGGCAGGGAATCATGGCAGAGGGGCATCCCAGAAGAGAAACAGTTCATGACAAAGCAGGGCAGGCAGAAGGCAGCAAGTGGCAAGCAGCAAGTGACCCTCTTTCTGTCCCTTATCTATTATCTAGGCTACCCATCCTAGGGCAGGTAGCAGTCACGCCCAGGGTGGGGCATCCTTAATCCTAATCAGAACTAAACTAAACCAATCAATGGATCAATTTAGCAATCACAAACCAAAAAACCCAACCAAACAAACACCAAAACAAAAACAAAAACAAAAACAAACCAATCACAAACCTTAATCCCAGCATCACACACTCCAGATCCAGCCACCTCTGAAAAGCCCTACCTGTGAACACATGTGGCTTTGGGGACATCTAGACACAAACTATAACAATCTCTACTCTATTTAGGAAAGAAGATGGTAGAAGATGAATAATTTACAAAAAAATGAACAAGCAATACACAGTTTGTTAGATGAAATTTTTCTAAAGTTTGAAAGGTAAATTTGTAGACTGAGATGTCTACTTTTCATCAGGTCAGTGATCTTGCTTGGATGAGATAATACATGAGAAGTGTTGGGTACAATATCTGACACATAGTAAATGCTCAATAATATTAGTTCTTGTTCTTTTCCTAGCTTGGGATACCAATCCAACAAAGGTATCTCTGCACATAGTTTTAGGATCACATTTAAAATTCCATTCATAGCACTCTGGATTATTTTCTCCCACATACCTCAAAACAAACTCTTCTAACTTCTACTTATTACCCAGTTCCAAAGCTTTTTTTTCCACATTTTCAGGTGTTTGTTAGAAAAGACTGTCTTAGTCTGTTCAGGCTACTGTAACAACATATCACAGACAGAGTGGCTTATACACAGTGAGAGTTTATTTTTCACAGTTGTAGTGTGTGCAAACCAAGATCAGGATGCCAGCATGGTTGTGTTCTGGTGGGAACTCTCTTCTGGGTTGCAGACTGCTGCCTTGTTGTATTCTCACGTGGCACAAAGATACTAAGAAAGCGCTACTGGGTCCCATTACAATGGCAGTAATCCCATTCATGAGGGCTCCGCCTCCTCACCTCTCAAAGGCCCCGTTTCCTAATAGTGTCACATTCTGGGCCAGGACTTCCACATAGACATA